AATATATAAAAACTAAGTAGCTTTAAGAGGAGAATTGATCTCCAAAGAGTCGATCTGGATTCATTCTCCTATCGTAAAGCAAAAAAAAATAATAATTACATAAAAACCATTATATACATAAAAATATTTTGTAAAATACAATATGTTAAATAAGTAGCTAAAATGGAATGGCGAAATCAAATTCCAAATTCAGATAATATTCAGAGTTATTCTCCCTCATTAAAAGATGCAGCATATGAGAATCCACCTATAAGAAAGGCCGGTCTGGCACGAACTCCTCCACCATCGCTTAAAAATAGAACGAACAGTATTTCCTCAAATGAAATCAGGATAAACGCCACTAATAGCTCATCTCATTGTGCCTCAATGTCGACATGTTTGCCAGAAAACAAACCAGATCTAGAACAACAAACAGAAGCCACTGAACAAACTCGTCAGCAAGATGATGTTACAGGTTGGACTTTAATTAAAAATAAGAAGCGTCAGCGATCAGAAGATAGCCCTCCGCATAAAATTAAAAAGCAAACTACCATTCAGGATTATTGGCTGCAGAAACCTACGCCAACGACCAATAGATATAGCCCTTTAACTACTGATGATATACAAGAAAAAAATAGAAATCCCGAATCCAATAAACCTCCACCAATATTTATTCAGAATGTCGAATATATAAAACCGCTACGCGAACTGCTTGATGAAAAAATACCAAATCTATATACCATTAAATGCCTTAGGGATAACCAAATTAAACTCCAAGTAGATTCACCTGAAAACTACTTGGATATTATTAAAAGCTTAACAGCAAAAAAAACGCAGTTTCACACATATCAAATAAAACAGGACCGTGGATTTCGAGTGGTTATTCGCAATATTCACCCCTCAACAGAAACTAATGAGATTAAAAGGGCACTCGAAGAACTAGGACATTCAGTCAAAAATATCTCCAACATAAAACGAATAAAGGATAAAAAGCAACTACCACTTTTCCACGTAGAATTGGTTGCTAATGCAAACAATAAAGACATTTATAAAGTCAATAAACTACTTAACTCAATAGTTGCAGTTGAACCACCACATCCCAAAAGAGAAATTCCGCAATGCCACAGGTGTCAACATTTCGGACACACTCACAAATATTGCAACAGAATGCCACGATGCGTAAAATGTACAGCCAATCACTTGTCATCCGAATGTCCAAATCCAACACGAATTAAAGATGTGAAGTGTACAAATTGCCAAGAAAATCATCCTGCATCCTACAGAGGCTGTTTGGTCTACAAAGAGCTCCAAAGAAAACAATTTCCAAAATTGAGGGAGAAAATACAATCTCATTGCCCGCCAAGTTCCTCAAATACTCGTCGCCCATCTGTAACATATGCAAACGCTGTGGAGGGACCAAATCATACTACCGCATCTGTCTCAAATACTACACAGGAAAAACTGAATACAACAGAAACAATTAACAGTTTAGAATTGATGGTCCAAAAACTTATGGATAGAATGGATAAAATGTTCGACCTTCTCATAACGATGTTATCAAAACTTAATGTTCAACCCCAAAATTAAAATTGGATATTGGAACGCAAACGGCCTCACAAACCATAGTGAGGACATTAAGGCATTTATAAAGTTACACAATCTTGATATCATGATGGTCTCGGAAGCTCATATGACAGACAAGAGCCATTTTAGTATGCCAGATTTTTGCACCTATGTTACACCACACCCAATGGGAAAAGGTCATGGTGGAACTGCGTTAATCATTAGAAGTAATATAAAACATCACGAAATAAATAAAGTGTGTGAAATCAACATTCAGGCAACCTCTATATCTGTAGAACTCAGTAAAGGGCACATAACCATGTCAGTTGCGTATTGTCCCCCTAGTAAAAGAATTAAAGAGGACCATTTCTCTAGTTATTTCAAAGGGCTTGGTCATCGCTTTATTGCAGTAGGTGATTTTAACGCAAAATATACAAGATGGGGTTCAAGACTGATAACAACTCGCGGAAGAGAACTTATTAAAAGTTTAAACAAAAATAACTTGACTCCAATTTCTACTGGGAAGCCAACCTACTGGCCTACAGATAGAAATAAAATACCCGATCTCATCGATTTTGGTATCATAAAAGGAATAAGTAACAACTTTTTAGACATTAAACCTTCTTTTGACCTTTCGTCGGACCATTCTCCCATATTTATTGATGTGATGGAACATGTATATAATACAAATAAACACCCCACGTTTTCAAATCATAAAACAAATTGGAGTCTGTTCAGATTTAATATTCAAAACACAATTAACTTAAATCTTCGTCTTAAAACAAATGAAAATATTGAGGAAGCAGTTCATCACCTTACTTCAATCATTCAACAGGCAGCTTGGAGAGCAACTCCAGATCTAAATCGATGTAATAACTGTGAACCATATCCACATCATATAAAAATCTTAATCAACGAAAAGAGAAAACTAAGAAAACAGTGGAACTTCCAGATCTCCTGAGAACAAAACTGAACTGAATAGGGCTACTCGTTTGCTTAAAAGAGAATTACACAAATACAAAGATCAGGGCATAAATGAATTTCTTGAAAGTCTTACTGCGACGGATGACACAAACTACTCTATTTGGAAACTCTCTAGGAAACTTAAACATCAGATTAAGCATGACGGTCCCATTAGAAATAAAGACGGTGATTGGGCCAAGGCCGATAAAGATAAAGTACAAGCATTCGCTAATCATCTCAGCCAAGTTTTTCAACCACACTCCAGAACTATCTCAAAGGAAGAAGAAGAATTTATTCACAAGAACTTAGATGCACCCTACCAGATGTCACCTCCTATAGAAAATATCAAAATTAACGAAATAAAAGAGTTAGTTAAACATCTCAATACCAAAAAAGCTCCAGGGTATGATTTAATATCGGGAAAAATCTGCAAAAATTTACCCGAAGAAGGATTTCGGTTACTTATGTACATATTTAACGTTATACTAAAGTTAGGCTATTTTCCGTTTCAATGGAAAATGGCACAAATTATTCTAATACCGAAACCAAATAAAGATCCACAAGAACTATCATCCTATCGTCCAATCAGTTTGCTTCCCATTATCTCTAAGATATTTGAGAGGATACTCCTTCAGAAAATTAATTCTATAATCGACAGACAAAAGTTAATACCTGATTATCAGTTTGGATTCAGGCAACAACATGGAACAATCGAGCAGGTACATAGAGTTGCCAAAGTAGCAAGAGATGCGATTGAAAAGAAAGAATACTGCACTACAGCCTTTTTGGATGTCTCACAAGCATTTGATAAAGTATGGCATGAGGGGCTGCTATCTAAAATAAAAACTCACTTTCCTCATCCTCTGTATGCTCTTCTGAGATCCTATCTTACCAATCGATATTTCCAGGTCAGATGCAATGAAGCAGTATCAAACATATCTCCAATTATATCGGGAGTACCTCAGGGTAGTATATTGGGACCAACTTTATACTTACTCTATACGGCAGATATTCCCACAAGAGTAAACAGCACAATCGCTACCAATGCAGATGATACTGTGATAATGGTTTCTAGCTCGGTTCCTGTTACAGCCTGTCAAAATTTACAAATTCATTTAAATGAACTAGAGAAATGGTTAAAACTGTGGCGAATTAAAGTAAATGGCAGCAAATCAGCACATATAACATTTACTTTACGCAAAAAAAGTGTACCATCTGTGTGCATAAACAATACCATAATACCCAAAAAAAGTGATGTTAAATACTTGGGAATACATTTTGACAGCCGACTAAATTGGGGAAAGCACATCTGGACAAAGCGACTGCAACTAGGATTAATATACAGGAAAATGTATTGGTTCATGAATAAAAAATCCAAACTAAGTCTACATAATAAATTATTACTGTATAAATGTGTTCTAAAGCCAGTTTGGACCTACGGTATACAGATATGGGGTACAGCATCTAATTCTCACTTACTGAAACTTCAACGTTTCCAATCTAAAGTTTTGAGACATATTACCAATGCACCGTAGTACGTGCCCAATTATGTGATACACCGAGATCTTCAGATCCAAAATATTAAAGACACCGTTGTCTCACTCAGTGGCACTTACAAAAATAGACTACTAAACCATCCAAATACACTTGCCCAAGACCTACTTAAGCGACCAAGGAGAGGAAGACTAAAACGACGTGATCCTCTAGACCTCTCTATACCTTTATATACATAAACGTATATATATATATATATATATATATATATATATATATATATATATATATATATCATTTTATAGCTACAACTGATACTACATATACCTACAACTTATTATTGTGTGTGTTGTTATAATTTTAACTATTACTATTTTTTTTAATATGTTAGTAAAATGTCTTTGTAAATTGTTATTTATATTTCAAATATTTATATATATTAGAAATTTATCTTAAGGATTTCTGTCACTGGACAGCTCTCCCCTATGTTAATTACTTGATAAACATATTGATTATTGTTTTTTTTTATTTGTAGAAACAGATTTCAATAAATAAAGGATGAAAAAAAAATCTTGTCGAGGAGATCTTAATATTTTCCAACGAAGTATTTTTGTAAACAGTTACTAATATACTGCTTCTTTATTTATCGAGTATTGATTTGTCTCCCTTTAATAATCAAATTAAACAAGGCGGTCACCAAACTTCTTTCTGTCTCTTCTAAATCTGTCTAAACTTCCCAAGGGATATTTTCTAGTTTTCGCCGTTTTTCCGTGCATCTTTGAAGGCAAGCTGTTTTTACTCTTCTGTGCATCGACCAACTCGATACTCTAACCCGTAAGACTTTCACGATTCCAAGACCCTATCCTGAGTTTTATAACTTCACTAATGTTCAACATTATACTTTGCACGATATAGCCAACACACTGTATTGTTAACCGTATCCCACCACTATAAATTATACTTTTCGTTGTTTTTAGATCCATAAATATATTGATTTCTAGGTGCAGATCATGTGGAAATGGATATTTTAACAGACAGATAGGTGGTACGAGGGTAGATCACACTTTAAGAATTATCTCAAAAAAGGAAAAGAAATTTTTGGTTTCTGAAACGCCCAGCATAATTGATTCTTTTGGTGTAGCTAAAATACTTCAGAGTTCCTCGTTTACAACGTTGGAGAGCTTAACTTCTGGAAAGTCAAGAGATATTGGAAGGTCACACAAAGATACCCTATCTTTTTATTCTAGTGTTTCAAGTGGCCATGATATTACAAGTCTCGAGTCACGTAAGTAATATAATAGTATTTGTATGTAGATGTTTATAAATCAAGTAAGTTAAAGCGTATTCGAGTATATAAATAACGTTTGGAACCAAATTGACTGGAACGGAAAAAGGGTAAAAGATACAGCTATATCGGATAACGACTCCACTGAACTAAAGGTGTATAGAAACAAATATATATAAATTTATAAAAGACCGAAATAAAAAAAAAGCATAGAAAACGCCTCTTAAGGCGCGTACAGACTAGCACACGCATGCGGTGAGAAGCCACGCATATGAGTGCGTACTCAAACCATTCGCGCTCAGAGCATTCGTTGAAATTAGAAATCACCGCATATGTATGCGTGCTCAAGGCACTCCAATATATTCTTTTGTTGTTATTAATTCATTAAAAAAGAAAAAACAAAGGAAAAATAGGTGATAGTGGACGACGCATTTATTTAAAAGAAGAACCCTACAAATGAAGTCCGATTTACTAGTAGATTTGGCGTTAGAACCTAATAGTGGATAATTTTAAAATTTTACACGTATGTCAGTAGAAGACTTTGAACGCCTTTTAAATGATATAGGCCCCGTAATAAAGAAAACGACACAGTCTTAAGAAAAGTCATATATGTTAAGGAACGTTTACTAATAACATTAAGATTTCTGGCCACAGGGAATACTCTGTATTTTTGTGTCCCAAGAAATTGGTTTTTTTATTACCGCTTTAATGATGTACCACATTTGTATATTTATACACTAATTTTAATTTTCAACCGGCATCTCAAAAACCTTGGTAGCCCGTTTTTGTTTGCAACGAAAAAGTAGCACACGTTCGTTAAACCCGCAATGCTTTATCTTCCATAACAACCAAAATAACCTATAAAAGTGTCCGAATTGAGATACCCTGTACTTACTGTAAAACTACAATACCTTTTCTTGTACCTACGGACTTCTTGAATTTGCTTGTTTGAGCCCTAAGAGACCCAAGTAAGCTGCTCATTTTCTTCTCCACAACGGCTGAATTAATATCAACATTTCTTGAAATCAACTTCCATGCATCGTCTTTTTTTTTGTTTTTGAATAATTATTTATTTTTTAGATCCCATAATATAGGCTTTTCTTCATACAAATCTATTAATATCAAACATTGTTCACATTGACCACTCCATTTTACACATAAATCAATAAAATGAATAAAACTCAATAAACCCTAACTTGTTTTGAAAATGCAACAAATCCTCACACTATCCATCTAAACTGAGCGCGAACGCACACGTATGTTTCTTTGATTTGTGCTAAAAAACCGACACCACTCTGACTCGCAGCATGCGTGCTCAATTCATTCGCAAGAAGCAACGCATGCGGTGAGAGGTTACGAAAGCGCCGTCCACATTTGCACACGTATGTATATTCGTGGCTGCTCACCGCATGCGTTTGTAGGTCTGTACGCGCCTTTAAATATAATGTATAAATCAGTAAAACTGAGACCTGCAAAAAATATTGCTTGCACTAAGAAGAAGAAAATTATAAAAAAAATAACAAAAATAGTGAAAGGAAATGGTCAAGTTGAAAAACGGATGGCAAAATTCAATATAGATGGATGCAATAAAGAAAGAAATATAATAAAACCACGAAAAGATTAAAAAGCGATGAAAGTTTAATTATTACACCCTTAGTGTATACTGTAAGATTTTTATTACAAAACCAAATTATAATACTCTACATGCGTGTATAACTAACTTCCTATAGAGAAGCCATTCGGAGCAATATAATATGCTAAATATTGTTTGAATGGCGTTTTTGAAAAAAGTTGTTTACTTTTATTGTCTAATGATATATGTTAAAACAAAAAAATCTGTACTTACATTTTTTTCCAACTACATAATGTATAAAGCGTATTTTCAAGGATCCCATAAACTATTGCTTCTGCAATTGAAAGAAGTCTGTCATTTTTAAATGCTTTAAATTGTCCAGTATCATTCTATTTAACATATTTTCTAAAGATCTGAAACAGTTGCTTCTTTATTTGCGTGTTGTCTTTGGATAAAGTTTCTTACAAGATTTAGCACTTTCTGTATCTTGTCTATTAGAACCTTCTTGCCTAGATTCTGACGATAACGCGCTCAGCCGGCGGATTTATTACTTACGCGATAATTTCACTATCCGTCGAAAGAATACAAATAATGACGTCGTCATCAATGGCAATGAACTCAGCAAACTCGTCATCATTGCTTAGTTGGGTTAGTTCTTGACCTTAATGTTGTAACCTCAACCAGTCTGCTACAGGATATTCATCTTCTTCGTTTTCTACCTAAGTGTCTGTTTACCCCGCATGACCGAAACATTTTCTGATGGTGTTTCTATCTACGAGTGTCCATGCTTTCTGTATGAAATTTATGGCATCTAATAAAGTAATAGGAGACTCACTATGGTTTTCCACATTATTCAGGATCCGTTTAACTAAAAGTTTTTTGTAGTGAACTTTAGAGGACCTTCTGATGCCCTGTTCCATCGGTTGTAGAACAGTGCAAAATGGGGGTGAAAAAAGAAGTTGAATGTTCTCCATTAAAAATCTCCGCTAACATCCACGATTTTTAATTAAATTTATATGTGACAGGAACCTGATTTACACCTCTGAAACATCGTGGTTTTTGACATTTTACACGCGAGTACAGTTAAACTTTCTTTTGATAACTTGCCACCTATAAAACTTTCATTTTTGAGTTTGAGAGTCTTACTTTTGGAGTAACTTTAAAAGAAAGTCCCAGCTCGTCGGCATTGACAACATTATCGTCACTGTAATTTTGTCTTATTGTATGACTTCAACCAGTTATGAGTTACTTTAAAATTCTCATCACTACCTAGTGCCTCCGAAAATTGTGTTGCTTTTTCTTGAAAAGCAGTAATCCACTTATTGAAACATTCGTAGCCCTGTTTACGGTACACCATTTGACCATTGCCGTATCGAGTTCTTTATTAGTTGCAGCACGTAATTTTTTCAATTTACTGGAAAAAGACGAACCTGCTTCGAAAATCTTGTGTTTACTTTTGAGCATGGTAGATAGAGTGAAACTTGAAATTCCTTTCACGATAAACTTTTTCTTTTTATCATTTTCAACATCTTTAAGGATGTTAATTTTTTCTTCTATCTATTAGGAGTCATAGTGTGTAATCTATGTGACTATGGTATCCATAACAAAACTTTCAAGATGCGAAAGCACAATCAGGAAACAAACGATAAACGTCTACGACAAAAACAACTGTGAAATGAAATTTGTTTCATTTGTATTTCTTTCATTTTATATCGGTCGGTATATTAAACAGAAGTTTATTGCGGGCGGCAGTTAAAAAGGGTATTTATTCATTCCTAGCCATGGTCGGGCCAAAAAAGTAAAAAAACACATTTTTGGATCTTATTTTCTCTCGTTATAACCAAATTTGCCTCACTCTAGAGGGTTATAGTTTAATAGCAATTTCACGGGACATCTAATGTACCTCGTTATAAGCGAAACCTCGTAATAACCGTGGAAATTGAGCCTGTAAATTCGTTATAGAGGGAGTATATTGTATATATATATATATATATATATATATATACATATATATACGGATATATTGGGTTTAGTAGTCAATATATTGGCCTTTAAGTAAAACTCTTTTAGGTTTGCTAAGCTTTCGAGTTTATTTTACTCTTTTTCAAAACATACTAAAAATTAACATAAAAAATTTACATTAGAAAAATGAAGTTCTTATGTCTTCAATAGGCTTACCCTTGTGAGAATTGTCTTTTAAAATTAGCAAAATTTTACATTTTGTCATTATGTCATTAACATAATGACATTAAATTTGATTTACTTTTTATTTCTGTCAAAACTTATTACTAAGGTTTCCATGTCTCTTCTATTTTTTATATTTATTTTAGGTGAGTTTGACAGAGGAAGTGTCTATGTTTATGCAAGCCTTCATTGCAAATTTTGATATAATATTACAGTTATTAAACAAGCAACAGAGTTTATGTTACTAATTAATTAAGAAAGAAAAAAAACAAATAAAAATAAATTTTATCTCATTTGAACTTGGAATAATCCCTTTCATATGCGTAACTTTTAAGAACTTTTATATTGTTATTCTTTTATTTAAAAGAAGATTACTGTATATAGCACTAAGATTTTCAATGTCTTCTCTTTTGTTTAAGGTGTTTTGTGTAGTTTTAATTAAACACATTTCTAGAAACAGTCTTTTGTTGTAATTTCTTTCCCTTCTCAATAATTCTGTTTGATCATAGTTAGGCGTATGGCCCATTGTAATACAATGTTCACTTAATGCACAGGCTTGTACTTTATTCAGATTAATATCACTCTTGTGAGATGTTAATCTTCCGGACAAATTTCTGGACGTTTCTCCAATATATATTCTATTACAATTATTACAGGGTAGAAAGTATACTACATTGGAGCTTTCTCTATTATTTAAGGGTGTTTTAAGTTTAAAAGTTTCTCTATTATTACAAGGGTAAGCCTATTGAAGACATAAGAACTTCATTTTTATGTAAATTTTTTATGTTAATTTTTAGTATGTTTTGAAAAAGAGTAAAATAAACTCGAAAGCTTAGCAAACCTAAAAGAGTTTTACTTAAAGGCCAATATATTGTATAATACTCACATAGTCACTAAAGCCCTTTCTAAGAATATATATATATATATATATATATATATATATATATATATATATATATATATATATATATATATGTTATGATTTGTTGTTGTTGTATGAGCTATGATTAAATTTAAATGATATATACGTATGTATAGGGTTTTTATCGTTGTTCTCAAAGAATTAGGTTGTAAGTACTTTTTTAAATTATCTTTATTATAAATATTATGAAACAAACCTATCTATCAAATATAAGCAATATCAATTTAACACAATCTCTCTAAAATTTGAAATTCTTACAATTATTAAATTATTAACAAAATTTGGTACCTTCTTTCACTGAACGCCTAAAGGTTTTCCAAAATTAAAGTTATTATCACCACTCGATATCTTCTTACTAAGCCCTGGTTATCCAACTATGTTAATATCTACCTTCTGAATTATCTCCACTCACCATATAAATATATATTCAACTCCTTGTAATTTCCATATACTTAATGTAATTTGAAACATACTGGATCTTGTGGTTGTATTATTGAATGCTTATTTCAATAATTTAACTTCAAACTGTCACTATATTACTGTAGTAATAATTAATCTCCAACTGTATTTAACTTAACAATTCATGTAACTTAATCAATGCCTTCTGCTAGCTAAGAATCTCTTCATAACCTCATAAATAACTGACTTAATAATCTTAACTTAATTAATAATCTTCTTGTAACTAAATTCTTGAATTATAACTTTACTAACTGATAAATGAACTGGTAACTGAACTTAACTGAACTAAACTGCTAACTCAAACTGACTGACTGACTGACTAAAAACTGACTCCCTCGCCAAATTACATGGCTTTTTATATCCTTTCATTGTTTCCAGAATATTCTAGCAATAAATAATGTTCGAAACCTTCTATTTTTTCTATTTGAAAATTCTGGAATCATTTCCTGCCTGTGATATGTTTGTAAATAGTCCCATTGACATTTCTAGAGTTTTCTATCTATAATTTACTTGACTTTAGGCTCTCCAGATCAGAACTACACTATTATATTTAACTTAAACATTTATATTAAATATATTTTTACTATTTTACATCCAAAATTATATTCTAAATTAACATTCCAAAAATAAATAACATTTTTCACTTTGACACTACAGTGTATGTTTGGTTGCATATGCTGACTCAAAATATCTAATATTAAATAAAATAAAAAAAAACTTCTTAAATTCAATTCTAATGCTAAATTCTTAAAAATACCCTCATATAATTATTTTTTTATAATATTATCTAGTATATAACTTACAAATTATGTCTCTAACCACTATTTAAATAAATTTATTGTATATCTGGTTGTATATATTTCTAAGTTAATTTATTGTATTTCTGTTTTCATTATAATATATATATATATATATATATATATATATATATATATATATATATATATATACACGTAGAAATTATCAGGAATTATAACGTCTCTATTAAAAATCTTTTGTTTTTTCTAACGAAACTCAATATTTCGTCATTTATTTTATAGCTTCATCAGGAGTAGGCTGTAAAACAATTTTAGCATTATAAAAATGGCGTACAAATACATTTAAAAAATACTTACAGAAATTAAAAGATTTGACATATAAAAATTGACATTAAAGTATGTAATAAATGTCATGATTAAATTGTCTAAGACAGGCCATTCACGTTCCAACTTTTAGTCCGACTAGTGGTCCAACTTCTGCAGTTGGATCTGAAATCGGACCGTGAGTGGGTTAGTTGGATTAGTTTTACAACTAGTGGTACGAATCGGAACATCTAGTGGGACGACTTGAAGGTCCGACTTCCGACTGGCGACGAAGTCGGAGCGTGAATGGTGAAGTTGGAAGTCGGATCATAAGTCGGATCGAAAATATCCCAAGTCAGTTGACCTTCGGCACCTGTTACGTATAAGATTTCCTTGAAATACTTTACGCAAAGATCTCTAGTTCGCAAATATTTAATAGAAAATAAATTTTCAATTGCACAAAAATTACCTTTTTGTCAGGGCAAATCATTTTCCTTTCTGTAGATCTATTTCGAAAATTCCCACACAGGTACAATTTCCAACACGCCGGATTGGTTACGGAAGAATTATCAACAAACAACGAAAATTAAATCATAGTTGTACTGAAATTAGACGTAACTGTGTCCTTATATTTTTCTGACGTTATTTTCTTGTGTCATTTTATTTACATTTACTATTTTAATTGCAAATAAGCCTGAATATTTGTTGGAAATTAAATTTATTTGACATTGAACTGAAGTTGGACGGCTAGTTGGATAGCAAGTCGGAGCGTGAGTGGAAACGAATATCCAACTAGTAGTCCTACTAAGTGGGACCGCAAGCCGGAACGTAAATGGCCTGCATTGAGAAATCAGACCAAAAATCACTTTTGATTGACTGGGAGGAGATAATATGTTGGAAAAAAAAATTATCTAAGATCCATACGAAAATTCCGGGCTGAAGGAAGGCCAATCTTCTACCAGGATGAAACGTGGGTAAACTCAGGTCATACTCTAAAAAAAATTTGGGCAGATAAAAATATATGCTCCAGGGCAGCCTTCATGAAAGATTGGTCTACTGGTATCTCCGCACCTTCTGATAAAGGCAGTAGATTATTAATTTCTCACATTGGCAGTGAAAAAGGATTTGTTAAGCATGGTTTGTTGGAATTTCAGTCCAAAAGCACAAAGACTATCACAAGGAGATGGCAGCTGATGTTTTCGAAAAGTATTTTGAGCAGATGATTAAACACATACCACCAAATTCAATTATAGTATTAGATAATGCACCATATCATTCACGACTAGTAGAAAGGCTTCCAACGACTGCGTGGAAGAAACAGGATATTCTTGACTGGCTGCGGAATAAGTATCTACCTTACGAAGATGGAATGATAAAAGCAGAACTTTTAAAAATTGCCCGGCAACACAAATCTAAGTTCAAAAAATACGTCGTTGACAAAATGACGGAAAGTGAAAACATCACAGTCCTTAGACTTCCACCCTACCACTGCGACATAAATTCAATTGAACTCATTTGGGCACAAAAGAAAAGTTATGTGGCTAGAAAAAATACGTCATATAAAATACAAGCTGTACGTGAATTGTTATACGAGTCTTTACAACATATTCCAGAACAAAACTGAAAAGATGCAGTAAGACATGTAATAGAAGAAGAACAAAAAATGTGGGATCCTGATAACATGATTGATGCGACCGTAGAGACACAACCGCTAATTATAAACCCCCAAGACGACTTGTATTCCGAAGTTGATCATATTTATTTTAAATTTAAATAGTTTTCTACTCGTCATTATATAAGGTAAGTAATAGTAGTTGTAATCGTGAGGTATTAAAGGGAAAAGGCGCAAAATGTCGCCTAACAAAATGTTCAATATGTTTTAAATGTATCCATTTTTTTTTCAAATCCTCAGAAAACTAAAAAGCATTTTTAAAAAATTTAACGGCAGAATGAAATATTTATTATAATAAGTAAAAGGTTTCTTTTGCATGCAATATTTTCAATTAAAAATTATACTATATTTTCTCTTTTATTTTCACCCCTGTTACTAAATATATTAAAATAAATATTCTAGAAGATTTCAGGGAGTTTCTGCCTTCAGTAATAATGTAATCTTTTATTCTGCGTTTAAATGTTTCAAAAATATTTATTAGTTCTCTCCGGAATAGAAAATAATGGATACATTTAAAACACATTGAAAATTTTGCCAGTCGACATTTGGCGGCTTTCCCCTTAATTAAATAAATGTATCGTTTATAAGTGCCAAGAAACTTTTTATTTTTAAATAAAATAAAGAAGTTTTATTAAAGCGAAAATACAATTTAAAATATATATTTATTTAGTTCAAATAAATGTTTTAATCATATACTCTACGACACTGGTCGGTAATGTGTAACCAAAATACCTTCGTAATCGGATTATAAGGTTGATTAGTCAGATACAAGGTGGGTTAGTCGAAAGCATCTTAAACCGTCAGTTTCAGATTGGTTGTTACTATTATATCGTATTACCTATTCTCTCTGTATTTCAGTTCTCTAATTAGGGTTAAACTTGTAGTGAGCTATCGACAAATTGTGAACCGACTAGGGATATCTTCTGCATTAACAATATATATTTTTTCTACCCGTTATCTCATTATTTAATAGGAAATCTATAATATTACTATTGCTAAACAATCTGAAGTTTAGATAAGACATTTTTCAGGTAATATAAATGAAATAATTATTAATTAAGTTAAGATATGACAAATATTATTTTATAATTAGACTATCATTATTTTGATTTTAGAATTATTTGGGATAAAAATAAATGAAACAGGATTATCGATGGTTAAACGATGGAAAGATAATTTCTACTTAATGCGTACATTTTCTACAACAAATTATTCAAAATGTACCTGTCATCTAGTTTTGTGCACAATGTATTCCCAATTAATCTATCATTGCAAAGGTTCAGGTGAGTTTCTTCTAGATACAGTACGATTCATATTTGTATTATGTAGTGCATCTGTTTATTTCCGATGACGCCAGACAAAATTGATGGGGTACATTAGTGAATGTTTAATAGAGCCCATTTTTTTTGGTTGACTAAAATACAAAATTATTAACTAAAATATGTAATTTATACGTGTAAAATGTGTAACAATAAATTATAGAATATCCGTTAAAAATTATTAATGAATCTGACTTAAATAATAATTTTTGACAAAAATGTAAATATCATAAATAAAACACAAAATATTTTATTCTTCTTTTGAACCACACATATAAATCACATCACGTATACGTATGCAACTATACAACTACACAACTATACAACTACCACTCGAGAAATAATACTCACATATGCAGATGACAAAGTTCTCGTTGGAGACCCCATCCTATCGACGAAAGACATCTTTAGCAAGGTGGAAAGAGCAACAAGTGAAGTAGGGCTGAAGATTATTGAAGAGAAGAGGAAATATTTGTGTATAAATAGAACGACATGAAGAGATAGAATGTGACGGTCAACACCTTTAATTTCGAAATAGTACAACGTTTTAAGCATCTGGGGGCCGTATTCACAGCTGAAACGATGTTACTGAATAAAAGAAAGAATCCAATCAGGAAACCGCTGTCTATTCGCACTGGATAAGCTCATAAAATAAAAAAATCTTACAAGAAGTTTAAAGATCAAAATCTATAAATCCATCTTCAGATCTGTAATGCTACGTGATGATGATGAAAAGAGTCAATTGACAAATAATCCACAAAAACAATGATTCTAATACTTGATTAAAGGGTGTTTTTTTATAAAATGTTGGAATTGATTGAAACCTTTCTATTAGAGTACGTCACTAGATTAAAAAATATTTACTATATAATATAAAATTTTTAATTTTATATAAATATAAAATATTTTTAATTAAAATCTTGAAAATTTTCTTGTTTTAAAGCATAATCTGTCAAATTGTTGATTACCAAATTGTTATAAATTAATAATAGAGGTTATGTTAATAAATGAAAAATTAATGTATTACAATGAGTTGGTTTACAATAAAAAATATTTATTTTTTAATAAAACAGATTTTATTAAATGTTTCTCCTCTAAGAATGAATTTTAATTACAACAAGTAATTTTTGGCCCTATCATAAAATAATTTAATGATTTCTTTTTTAATATTGATGTTGTGATTTGATTTGTAATTTAAATATATGTTAATGTGTGTATTCTATATACCTGAGTCTCATATCGAGTATCCTTTTTTAAGACTAAAACATTCAGGAAATGTAGTGAGTTAATATATTCGTATTCGTTTTTTATGGTCAATATTATTGTCCATGTTAGTCGTTGTCAATATTAGTCGTTTATATTATTCAGAAATGTGTCCACAAACTCTCTATGAAGTTGTATGGAGAACAACACATCATGTCATGATACAAGAACAAAACAAGATAAGTCAACGCGCATGTTCTTGCATCTCTCTCGCATACCTGTGACGTAAGCCCGAGACTTAGAAGTTAAATGCTCATAACTGTTCATGTTAATTATGTTGCTGTGGTAATCGAGTTTGCTATTCTGTGTATTTCAAAACGCAGTGAATGATATTTTTATTTGTTCATTGATTTAGTAAAGACTTTGTATATTATATTGTTATATAAATTTTGTGGTGAAAACGTTCAGTTTACTGTATTAATATCACCTAATTTGTTTATCGTACGCAACTTTCTCTTGACTACCTGTAGCTACTACATAAAGAAGAATAATTATTTGTTTAAACAATAATAATTAAAAAAAAAAACATTTTCGACGTGTCATTTTTTGGTGTTTCGTAGATACAAACAAAATGCGTAAAGTATGGGTCTCCAAGTGTTTTCAGCGAGACAAATTTAATGTAGAAACCGCGAGAATATGCTCAAAACATTTTACAGCAGCTGATTATTCCCTAATAGCACACGTACGGCCAGTGGACGTCCATAGTACGTCCCTCACGGACTTTAAGGACATCCCTCGGATGTCCGCTTTGGTCCTATTTACGTCCGTTTTACGCCCTATATTGGTCCGAATGTCGCTGCGCCGAACGTCCTATGGACGTCCATTTTACGTCCCGAGCGGACGTTAGTTGGACGTACCGGGACGTTAATTGGACCTTAATCGGACGTCCATAATACGTCCGGAGGACTTACTTGACGGACTTTTGTGATGTTCTCGGACGTCTATTTTAGTGCTGAGGATATAAATTAGACGTCAACGCCATTGTATAAAATACTAAAAGTGGTGTCATCCTGTGCATATTAAGAATGTATTTTGGGAAATAAAACGTAAATGTTTAAAGGAACTTACATTTATTTATTATTAACAAATGGGACAAATCCACTGTCCAAATTATACAAAAATGCAACATGATAGAAATATAAAATAATTTTTAGTAATAAAACATAAATGTTTAAAGGAACATTTATTATTACATATATTTATTTATTCATAACAAATGGAACAAATTCACTGTCAAAATTATACAAAAATGAAACAATATAGAAATATTCACAAAATTACAGATAAAAATAAAATATACATGAATAAATAGGTACACATTTATAAAAAGTTTGATTTAGCATTTTAGTGCTTCAAATAGTACCTAAACCTATTGATACAAAAGTTTCAGACCATATCTATGAATGTGAATCATAATTAGTTCTGCGGTAAGGAACATGGAAATATAAATTCTGACACAGAGAATGGGAGGAATATTAAAACAAACTAGCTGAAGCAATTCAGGAGATTGGTTATTTTATGAACAAGTTTAAAAATAAAGATTAAAAGGTAACACTTTTGATAAGAGAATCCAGATTCAAGAAATTGATCATACCCGAATAAGAATATGGTCTACACAATTTGCAAGAACAGTAGATGCTACAAGTCAGTATAAATCTAATCGACATAAAAAAATGTTTTTTAATGCAATTATAACATAATAAGTGTAAATTAGTAGAAGTTGAACAACTAGACAGTAAGTAAACCATGCTGACCAGTATGAAGCTGATTCTTCAGATTTATTGTCAAAAAATCAGTCAGTGAAGCCTCGAAAATTTTAGGAATAGTCGAAAGAATTATAATGGAACGATAATTAGGAATCAATGAGTTAATGGATGAATCAATAGATAAAATCAATAAATAAATTGTGATGAAAAGTGACCCTCAAAAATTTATAAAAAGTAAGCCATAGAGGCCTACACAAAAAGAATGCACAATTCCTTAAAAATAAGTTACGATATTCCATCTGGACCAAGACCTTCATTGGTATTAATACACTGTAAGCATGCTAGAATGTCACAAATTTTAATAGTTAAAGAGTAAATATGGCTGTGAGTGATATGGGATCTTTGACTACACTTATCTACACAGGAGAAAGAAGGATTGTAAATACTGCTAAAGAAATTGGCAAAATCGTTGAAACTGTGGCTCACTAAAAACAGAACCATTCAACTTCGCTTATCCATTCCCATTCTGATTTACCTTACAAGTGTGTGGTAAGTGTGTGAGATTCCATCAAAATTTACACACATTTCTAAAACACTGTTTTATTGTGAAGATAAAAATACGTTTGAAATTTGAATCATATGGATCAGAGTAATTGTTCTCTGGGTTAAGCAAGAAGGGTTCTAGCATCTGAACTTAAATGAGAAAGATCAGGAACTTCTTTATGATTTTTTAATAAATCACCTAGTATTAAAGAACAAAGTCCATTTGCATAACTTATTAGAAAAATTAAAAACATCTCGATAAGGTTCTCCAGAATTCTCGTTACAACCATTTAGACCCTTCTTCAGTTTCATTGAAAAAAAAGCTTTGTAAAGTATCATTGGAATGGTCTGCCACGTGGTAATTTGGATTTAAGAAAAATTACTTACCTTTTTGTAATAAAATAAAAACCAAATTCGGAAATAACCTAACAAAAATGGTACCAAACCTTTAACAATATACTATCAAAGGAAACATCAAAAAGACCAATGCACTGTACACTGCTTAGAGTTCTTTTATTTCTTTTATTAAAGCAATAATAATATTATGATTAAACTGTGCCATTTGTTTAAATATGTATGACATGACAATGACAATATTGACAATTAATACATATCATCAATCATCACATGTCATATCACATCATTATTTTTCATTATTTTGTCTTTGAAAAGACAAAAGAGACAATTATTCTGTGGAAAAGATTATCAAGATTCATCTTGTCGATAAAAATCATATTTTTACTTATTAGAATTAGCAAACATATATATTATTATCTTGATAACTAGAATAATAAAACAATTGTAACGAATTATCTAGGAATAAAAGATTTTTACACTTTACCTAAAAACAAAAACATGTTTTGGATACATTAAACTATACAATTTTTAATTAATTGTGATTTAACCTTTTCGCTTTTAATTATTTTATTAACGTAAATAATTTTTTATTTTATTGAAATATTTGCTATTTGATCCCATAGTTGGTAAATGTCGGATGTCCAGAAAACGTCCGAGTTCGGACGTCCAGGGAACGTCCGAGTATGGACGTCCACGGAACGTCCATATTTAGTCCACCCAAAGTACGTCCCACTTCGTACGTCCATAGTACGTCCATTTTACGTCCAGGGACGTCCGGACCAAAACTGGACGTATATTGGACGTCCATAGGACGTCGTGTGTTACTAGGGTTGTTTAAAAGAAAAACTATTGGGATTGCCTGACAAACAGTGAAAGTTAAGAAATGATACCATACCTTCTCTTTATTTAACCCAGTAGCGTCGAGAAAAGAAAATTCATTTTATATTTGCAATAATTTTATTTAACACTACGTAAAAATAACTTATTTTTGTTAAATTTAAGCCGAAATAAAAAAATTTCGGCTTAATACGGATAGCGGACCACTAGGCGTTTGGCAAGATCAAATATTGAAACAATTCATTAATTTGTCCCATT